AGCGAAAACGCTCACTGAGCTGGAGACGAGATCTGCGGATCCAAGGGATCAAGACATCAGGGACGTCACCCTTGGTGCGCAAGGGGAAGACCGTGGTGTAGCGCGAGAAGTCATCAACAACAATCAGGAAGTACCGCTCCTGACCCTGACCACGGACGCGGGCTGGGCCCCACACGTCCATGTGGAGCGTCTGCAAAGGAGCAGTCGTCGGGGGAAAGGAGGAGGAGTGAGGAGCGGCGCGCTGCCGCCCCTCGACACAGGGAAGACAGGGAGGAGCAGGCGAGGGTGGGAGGGGAGGGAGAACCCTGGGAAGACCAGCAACAAGGTCCCGTTTGTGCATGGCCCGAAGGCGCTGCACAGACGGGTGACCAAGGCGGTGGTGCCAGAGGACAGTCTCATGTGCCAGAGAGCGACACGAGCAGGGGGCGGACAGCTGACCTGACGCAGACGCAGACGCAGCTACCTGAGGGGACTCAGTGGTCAGTGTGTACAGGTCCGACCCGGGCTGCCGAGTGAAGGTAGCCAGGTGACGGCCCGTCCGAGCACACGTGCAGTGTGTCACGCGCTCGTATGCAGGGGTAAACTGGTGAACACCCCCGTCCTGGAGCGCACTACCTGCCACCAAGTTCGTAGAGAACGAGGGGAGGTAGAGACCTGACAGTGTGCCTGACGGGACCGCAAGACAAGGAAGGACAGTGGAGGAGGTCGCAAGGACCGGACCCCCAGAGGGGTCAGCGAGAGAGACAGCAACTGGCCGAGCGAGTGGCTCAAGGACAGTGCAGTCACGAAAGAAACAGCGAGAAGCACCTGAGTCCAGTGTGAAGGTGTGCAGTGCCGCAGTCGACTCAGTACCAGGGGGCACAGACTCACGAGCACCTAGAGCAGCAGCCTCACCAGGACCTGGGGCAGCAGACTCACTAGCACCTAGAGCGGCAGTCGGACTGGTCAGAATGCCCGGGTCGGGCGGAACACGCAAGTACTGAGCACCCTCTCCACTAGTAAACATCGCATACATGGCAGTGAGAATAGCATCAAAGTCTAGAGCCCAGATATCAACCCCCTGCCTCTCCAGATCAGCCCAGCGGGGAAACTCAGCGCCAGCAGGAAACTGGGCGCGCCATGCGTCGGTAAGGCGCGAGAAACAGCGGTGCGTGGGGTGCGGCTTCCCACACGTCTGGCCAGCGCGGTCACCAGTGCGGATGACGTACGTGCAGGTAAAGCCACCCGCCCCCCCCCGCTGCGAATACCACTCACGTGCCTCCTGGAGCGACGGGGCGTGCTGCTGGCTCTGGCCACCGCCAGCGCCTCCACGACCACCACCGCCGCCGCCACCGCCCCGGCCACCTCCACCCCTGCCGCCGCCACGACCACCTCCGCCTCCGCCGCCGCCTCCGCCCCTGCCACCACTCCCGCCGCTGCTGTCACCACCCCCACTGCCGCCACTAGCCTCTCCAGTCCCACCTCCACCCCCACCGCCACCACCCCCGCCTCCCCCGCCGCCACCTCCACCCTTGCCCCCCTTGCTCCTGCGGCGCCCGCTCGGAGCAGACGCGGTCCCGACCTTCTCAGCACCAAGGAGGTCGACAGTAGCAGCAGAGGCGACAGAGGGGAGAAGGGGGGAAGGGGAACACCCCTCAAAGAACGGGGTGCGGGGGTCGCCACGAGAGGTGCCTACAGCGACGATGCTCGCCTCAGCTGCAAGGAGTTCCTTCTCGAGGAGGGCAATGGTGAGCTCAGTGGGAGAGCGAGCGAGGAAGTGGTCCCTGACTGCGCGCAGAGAGTCAGGGAGGCGGGTGACGATGTGGTAGAGCGTGATCCAGAGCGGGGGGGGGGTTGCTGGCAAGGAACTCGTCAGGCATAGCAGCGCGAAAGCGGGCCTCACTAGTCTTGAGGTGGGTGATGAGGTCAGCGACTGTGCTGAAGGAGGCCAGGTCGGGGAACAGGTAGGGGAGGGTGAGGCGGCCTAGTGTGGCAGAGGCAGGTGAGGAGTAACGAGCAACGACAGCAGTATAAAGGTCCTTAGCAGTCTTGTGCTGGCCAAAGTGCTCGCGCTCATCTAGCGGCAGGGAGTTGCGAATAGCGAAGCGAGCGTGGGCGTCACGAGTCTGCCACTGTGAGCGCTGAGTGCTGTCTGCAGTGGTAGGAGGGGCAGTAGCGTGACCGAGGGCATGATCGTACAGCGAAATATCCTCCTTGGCAGTGAGCTGTAGGAAGAGATGCAGGTCATCTAGCCAGGTGTCAAATTTCACTGGGCGGCCCTCAGCATCGAAGGCTAGCACAGGAGGACTAGCCATAGTAGCAGCAGTAGTAGCAGTAGGAGCAGTAGTAGGAGCAGTAGTATCAGCAGTTGTAGTAGCAGTAGGAGAAGTAGGAGGAGCAGCAGTGTCGACGAGGCTGCTAGTACGGGCGGCGCGGCTCGGTCGGGTAGGGCGGCGCGGCTCGGTTCGGTTGCGTGGCTGCGCTGAGCCGCTAAGCGGGGCGGTACGGGGCCGCGGGGGCCTCTAAGCGGGGCTCGACGGGGCCGTGGGGCCGCTAAGCGGGGCGCAGCGGGATCGCGGGGCCGTGAGGTGGTGGGCGACGGGGCCGCGGGGCCTCTAAGCGGGACGCGACGGGGCCGCGGGGCCTCTAGGCGGGACGCGACGGGGCCGCGGGGCCTCTAGGCGGGGCTCGACGGGGCCGCGGGGCCGCTAAGCGGGGCGCAATGGGGCCACGGGGCCTCTAGGCGGGATGCGACGGGGCCGCGGGGCCTCTAGGCGGGACGCGACGGGGCCGCGGGGCCTCTAGGCGGGGCTCGATCGACGGGGCCAGCGGGGCCGCTAAGTGGGGCGCAACGGGGTCGCGGGGCCGTTAAGCAGAGCGCGACGGGGCCGCGGGGCCTTTAAGCGGGGCGCGATCGACGGGGCCAGCGGGGCCGGAAAAAAAAAAAGTAGTGCGCGAGAGCGCTAAGGGGGGAGGCGCTAAAGCGCACTCCGATAGTAGGGCGCACGAGGGCGCTAGTAGGTAGTAGGTAGTGGTGGGCCCGAAGAGAACTTAGGTCCTAGCGAAGGACCTGCTCTGAAACCATGTCAGAATGAACGGACTGGAATGGTTGAACTAGCAGTGCAATGAGTACAAGTACCTAACCCTAGAATTGTGTACCCCCTATAGGCTAACCCACTGCAGCCTAAACAAGCACAACACATATAATGTTCGACACGAAGCTGAGTCTCGATTTGAGAGGGACAAGTTTCAAAGAGATTGATGTGAGGCTTATGGGGTGCACGGCGAGGAGGTTATAGCGAGCAGGCACGATGTGGTCAAGAAGGTTGTTTGATAGGAAGTGCATGTGAGATACATTGGGGGGACGTGCAAAGCGAGGTGGTTGATAATGCAAGCAGCACGAAAGCTAACAAGCGCGTGTGAATAGTGTGATCAGCGATAGCTAGGAAGACATGGTAAGGGAAGAGAAAAGGCATGAAGAGGTACTCAGAGTAGTAGAGGAGGGGGTAGATTCACGAACAAGGATAACGCCATGGCGATCGCTCGCTCGACAGAAGTGCACTTGGTCGGCCGGCGGAAGGATGCATCTAAGCAAGGCACACAAAAGCGTCATGCGACTCCCACGCCGAGTAAGCAAGATGGGCCATACGGTGAGCCTCCTGCTCCTCCGACGTAGGCTCAGGTGTATGAGCAGTAGGACGGAAGGGGGTGGGGTTATGTAGCTTATCCAACGAATGCATCTACATTATGAAGTATTCTGGTGCTGGCTCCGCAAGTGGAGTGTGACATCGAGCAACCATGCGTCACAATCAAATGTCCACCTCTCCGAATCAAGCCATAGTACAAACTTGAACGCCATGACATGAGTGTGCAGGTTGGTTAAACGGTTGATTATTACCATATTGGAGAGAGTGTCCTATTAGTGGATGCACAAGTGAACATTGTAAGCGAATTATTATAGTGTGAGAAAATTATAGCCTGGATTAAAAATTCTTGAATATATAGGCTTAATTCAGGTTCTTTTGTACCATTGAAGGTTTCCAAGGTGTTGTACCAAATAATATTCTTCAATGTACTGAAGTGGATTGTAAGAAATTCATTATTTTATCCCAGTGTTCTCTGTAGTTTCTAGTGGTAGTTTGCTCCGTAAATTGTGACAATCATGAATCGCATTCGTCCAATAAGAATTGATCAATTTCGAGCGAGCGAATGTTGTGCTGGTTGCTGAGCGAAGTGTGTGTCAGCGACGCTATGGGGAAATCCTGATCGTCAGTTGTTTTACCTTGACATGCGGGATGCGCATGTCCTCTTCCACGACAAGAAAGGGACGTTGGCCCTTCGATCCTCGAATGTTGGCAAGAGCCAATCGAGAGGAGCTTCTGTCCTGCTCACTGGAATTTCGCACCTTACGGGGCTCATCCGTTTCTCTCCCACCACGATGCTTGCGTTGGGCACCTGACCCGACAGAGGAGACACCCCTTCAGCTTGCTTGCTTCGTTGTGCCTGCTGGTGGTAGGAAAACTGGGGTTTCATTGCACATAAGGGGGAGCTTCAAGAACCTTAGGCTCAGTTGTGAGCTGAATTCCCGCGCTTAGACCTGCTATTATATCTGCTCTTTGCGTAGGCTATCATCTTATATTTTTTTAGAGCTTTGCGCTTCGGCTGCTGAAGTTGTTTCACGTTTGTGTCAAGTACTGCACCACCAACTTTGCTCAACATAGTTGCCTGTTACTGACTTTTGGACACACTTACTTGGTCAATGGCGGAGACTGTTGCTAGCAAGGCAGGAGAAGACAAGCCGAAGGCGGCTTCGTCTCCTGCAGTCAAGGCTAAAGCTCCCGCTTCCAAAGTTGCTAAGCCAAAAGTTGCTAAGGCGAAGTCTCCTAAGTCTGCCAGTGCCAAGCCAAGAGCCGCCAAGCATAATCATCCGAAGTACATTGAGGTGCGTCACTAGAAGTTATATGAAGACATTATTTCAAAGAGTTCTCTTCTAACGCTTTCTCTTCGTTGCAATGGTGCAGATGGTGAAGGAAGCTATTGTGGCCTTGAAGGAAAGAACTGGTTCAAGTGTGCCTGCCATTGCCAAGTATATCGCTCAAAAGCACCCAGACCTTCCTGCCAACTGGAAGAAGACCCTGGCCATTCAACTGAAGAACTTGACCAAGGCTGGCAAACTTGTGAAGGTGAAGGCTAGTTTCAAGCTTGGAGGTGAATTGAAGCAAGCGAAGCCTGTTCGTGCTCCAGCGAAGAAGACCCCCACGACAGTGAAGAAGGTGGCGAAGCCTAAAGCTGCGTCGAAGCCACGACCCAAGGCTGTTCCGAAGGCTGTCAAGTCCGCGAAGCCATCGACTCCGAAGAAGGTTGCGACGCCTGCCAAGTCCCCCGCGAAGAAGCCTTTGCGCGCAGCCCCGAAGGTTAGGAAGGTGACGGATAAGAAGCCAGCGGTCAAGAAGGTGACACCCAAGGCAAAGGCTCCATCGCCAAAGAAGGTCAAGACAGCTGCTCGGGCTTCTCCTAGGAAGCCACCACCGGCCAAGAAGGCCAAGACAGCTGCTAAGAAGTGAGCCTTGCAGGCTTAAATCTTGACTGGACGATTGTATAGCCTATGTGAGATGGCCTTCTGACTAGGATTCGTTTTTCCCCTTGTCCTCCTTTACTTGTGCATTTTGTCTGGATGAGTATAACATGACATGCTTGGTTTGTGCTCCTATTATTAAATCGCTGTTCTCTAGCTGTTACTGATCTTTTCTTCATACCTCTGCTATATGGATGAAAGATGTAAGACATGCATAAGGTTGCTCAGCACACATGGGTGCTGCCTTTGCAGAAGCGGTTGTGGAGCATGAGCCTTTACCAACCTACCTGTATTGCTTTTCTGCTGTTACTCGGAGTTCTATCGTTGGCACCGCTTAGCAGAATTGGTTGCCTGCCAGTTCATAGGGAACACATGCACAGCTTATTTTGCTGCCACCTACAGGTGCCACTGTTTCTACAAGATGCACAATATCATGCATGAGACAAACCACCACACTTTGCAGTGACAAAGCAGCACCTTGTCATCCAGTACACATTGATACTTGACAACCACACCAGCCTACCCCTACCCCTTGTCGCGCTGGCCCGTCCCACCACCCTCTCCTTTGTCCTTCACCCTGAAGGTGAAGTTGAGCCGGCCTGGAGTCATGACAAGGTTTGGTGGTCTGGTTCCCGGGGCCAGATCTCTGGTTCCATGATACACAAGGCGCGAAGCAGCTCCAAACACCAGCACGTCTCCACTGGATAGAGACACAACACGCTCCCTGTCCAGAAAATGCAAGTACCGTAGGTAGGAAGGGAAGAGTCACTAAGTGGGTGCATGCCAGCCAAAGAACATTGACTGGAGTGGTGGGAACATAACACCATACCGGACCGGCACCAGCCAGAACGAGAACGTGCGCACACACGAACGTATGGTTGCTTACCTTGCAACTGCACACATGCAAGTCGCACCTGTTATGTGCAGCATCGTCGAGAGAAGAGCGCGCAGCAGCCACCGGGTCGTCAATCTGCACTGCAGTGCCGGAGCGCGACATTTGATTCGACTCAAAAGTCACCTCGTTACAATGGCACAAGTCGCACCTGTTATGTGCAGCGTCGCCAAGCGCAGAGCGTGCAGCAGCCACCGGGTCGTCAATCTGCACTGCGATGCCGGAGCGACGGCGGTGCAGAGGAGGGAGTGGCCGGAAGAAGAACTTCATAGTATCGCCCACACTCACGCTCACCTGCAATCCAGAAACCAGGCCCACCGTACAGAGTGCAAACACATGGGCACATGTGATTGAGACGCCTCACAATGTGCAGAGGAGCGAGTGGCCGGAAGAAGAACTTCATGGTGTCGCCCACACTCACGCTCACCTGGAATACAGATACAGTACCACCAGGCCCACCATGTAGAATGCAAACACATGCGCACAGGTGACTTTTGAGATGCCTCAAAAGGTGCAGAGGAGGGAGGAGGGAGTGGCCGGAAGAAGAACTTCATGGTGTCGCCCACACTCACGCTCACCTAGGATGCAGGAAACAGGCCCACCGTATAGATTGCTAAGGGCACTGGTGAACGGACCGGAACCCCCTCTCCCCTCCCATAGAACAGGAGCAAATTAGCCGTTCGACTCGACTCTGTACCTTCGTAATTCAGTCTCTATGAGAAGAACAAGTTGGAACATGGCCACTTCTCATCTGAAATTAGATGCCTTTTCTCCCTGCTGCCTACCACGGGCATGTTGTACGAGTCGTCTCGATCCTGGTGCCCTCCCAGCCCTATCCGGCCCAGTTCCTCTGCGCGTGCCTGTAGCGAGACAAACAGTGCATATGGAATGTTTCTTTAACAACAAGAGAAATATATATCTGGCATACAAGGCACACATGCAGTTCCACAACGGAGTTGTTGTTGTTGCTGCTGCTGCTGCTGCTGCTGCTGCTGCTGCTGCTGCTGCTGCTGCTGCTGCTGCTGCTGCTGCTGCTGTGCCGTCACCACTCTGAATGCACATGCACGTAGCAAGAGGAGAATGCACGCACATGTTTCGTACACGAACTGGAAGCACATGGGCTTACAGGGTAGAAGTTGACAAGGCAAACGTCTGGCACAAAGGTGTTCAGATTGGCAGCTGCTCCCTTTCCTTCCCCCAGAGCTCCTCCTCCTCCTCCTCTCCTCCCGCTGTCCACTCCTCTCTCCTCTCCTTCCCCCACTCCTCTTCCCTCTCCCTCTCCCCCACCATCCCAGAACACCGGGCTGTGTGAGTGTGCTTCTAAAGCCAAGCACCCGGCGAGGTGAGCAAGGTCAGGGGGGATGGGCGGGGCCCATGCAGCAGTGGCATAACGGTTGAGTGTGCTGCTCCAAGCCGCACCCCAACAGGTCTGTGTGGGTTTACGGCAGGGACGCGAACAGGAGCGGAGGGCACGCGCGCGCGCGCGCACACACACACGCACGCACGCACGCACGCACACACACACACACACACACACAGTGGCACAGGCGCTCACACACTCACACTCACACATACACACACAATGTGGTGCCTCAAGAGTCAGAGAGGAGCAAACACAATCGACGTATGAAGGCGATCAAAAGGTTGTGCATGTGCATGTGTGGAAACGGACTTATGGTCACTTGGCACATGCTACCAGATTACCCTCCCCCAAGCAGTGACTGGTCTGCGGAACAGGTCCCTTGTCATAGAATCATAACAAATTTTTATTATTCCCCACAGCGTAATGACCAGTTAACCGCCTCCCCACCTCCACCTCTCACCGAGTACAGGAGGTATTTGCCTTCCCCAGCAGTGACTGGTCTGCGGAACAGGTCCCTTGCCATAGAATCATCACGATTTTTTATTTCCCACAGCGTAATGAATAGCTAACCGCCTAACCACCTCCACCTCTCACCGAGTACAGGTGGTATCTGCCTCCCCCAGCAGTGATTGGTCTGCGGAACAGGTCCCTTGTCTCCTGCGCTGCCTGCACAAACCGCTGCTGCTGCTGCACTGACAGCCGCCGTCGAAGCAGCACCATGCTGACGTGGCACACACGTGGCAGGGGAAGAGAAAGAGAAGGAGGAGGGGATCCGATTCGCGTGTGCGAATGGCAGGGAGAGGGGATGTGGAGGCACGGAGGAAGAGAACGGTATCCTATTTTTTGAGATTTCTCAAAAACACCCTTCAGCAGAGGGGATGTGGAGGCAGGGAGGAAGAGAACAGTTTCCTATTTGCAGACTCCGTTGCTCTTCGTGTCTAAGAGCTGAGAGGGGTTTACAGGCGCCTTGAAAACCACTCTCCTTCGACCGTGCGTTCCCTCTACCTGTTCCCCTCCTTGGCCCATCACTTACCCTGGCTGCAGAACAGCTTTGGGTGGCGCCTCAAAAGTTGTTATCACCCTCGGCCCACTTACCCTGGCTGCAGAACAGTCACACGGCCTTTCTCCCGCCCTGCCATCCCCTCCCCATAGCCGCCACACCCTGCAGCAGCAGGGGTTGCATCAGAAGGGACTGCAGCACCAGTGGGCAGGGCACTAGGCAGTGAAAGCCTGCATGTTGCATCAGGGATGGAACCGCACTGATTGGAAGGGCGAGGAGGAGAGGACGGAGGAAGGGAAGGAGGAGAGGGTGGAGGGGGGAGGAAGGCGGAGAGGCGGGGTTGGCAAAACTTGTCCGGGCAGAGGAAGTCAAGAGGCGATGCAGGGAGAGAGCCTGAGGGGGAGGGGGACGGTGCAGCCGTGGGGGAAAAGGAGGGGGAAAGCTTGGGGGAAAGGGCAGGGGAAGACAGCGGATGGTGCGGGCGACTGTGGGGTTGTTGACTTGGCGGTAACAGGGGTTGTTGGGGCGGCTGAGGTTGTTGGGTTGGGCGGGGGTGTTGCCCTGGGAAGAATGGGTGTGGAACAGCAGGGGGAGATGTTGCTCTGGAGGAGAAACGGGAGGAGGCGGATGGTGGTACTGATGCGGAAGGAGTTCCCCCTTGTGCAGCTTCCAAGCGGTTCTGATGAATGCTGTACGTGAGTGCAGTACTGCCTTCCCCTGTGCCGCCTTCCCCTGTGCCGCCTTCCCCTGTTCCGCCTTCCCCTGTTCTGCCTTCCCCTGCGCTGCCTTCCCCTGTGCCGCCTTCCCCTGCGTTGCCTTCCCCTGTGCCGCCTTCCCCTGTGCCGCCTTCCCCTGTGCCGCCTTCCCCTGTGCCGCCTTCCCCTGTGCCGCCTTCCCCTGTGCCGCCTTCCCCTGTGCCGCCTTCCCCTGTGCCGCCTTCCCCTGTGCCGCCTTCCCCTGTGCCGCCTTCCCCTGTGCCGCCTTCCCCTGTGCCGCCTTCCCCTGTGCCGCCTTCCCCTGTGCTGCTCTCTCCGCCCACCCCTCCCTCTCGCCACCTTCGCCTCTTACCACGGGCCTTGTGATGCAAGCAAGTAGCACCCGTATGCCTGATTTCATTCTCACCTCCCACGCAGTCACTCTCCTCACTGTCACCGTCCTCGCATTCACCCTCCTCGCAGTCACCCTCCTCATAGTCACCTTCCTTGCAAGCACCCTCCTCACCACGCCCCCCTCGTTCCGTTTGAGCACCAGGATCAAGCGCTACAGAAGCAGGAGCAGCAGCAGCCGCAGCGGCGGCAACAGCAGCGTCCTCCCGACCTTGTACAGAACCTCCCACTGCTTGCCCTTGCGTCCGCTCACCATCTCCAACCCAGGCGCTCTTCTCTCTCAACACCAATGGTACCTTTGTTATCTGCACTACGCCCCTATCCCTGACCATTTCCGGCACCAGAGATTGCTGAAGTGTATCTCGAGTCAACGCAGAGCACAGTAACTTGTGAGAAATCTCGTGTGCGCCGTGGGCTGCCATTTCTTTGCCCATCCTTCGTTGAAGATCAGTTTTTTCCGAGCTCCTGTTCTCTCGTACGGTCGTGCTCTCGTTAATGTCACTATGGGCCTCTTCACTCGCTGTTGTCACAAAAAAGACTCCAGCAGGATCCGATCCCAAGCCATCGTCTCTCTCTGCGTCCCCTTCTCGCCGCATAAGACGGAGAGACAGCTCGTTAGTAGCTGAAGCACCTACGGTACCAACGGTATCAGCTATAGCAACTGCACCAACTACACCAACGGCACCAATCGTAGCAGCTGAATTACCAGCAGCGCCAGACCGTTGTTTCCGCTGTTTTCCCCGGCACGCCGCCGCAGTTGCATGCTCTATTCCTAGCGATGCTTGTTCGCCCGCGCCATGGTTACCCGTTCTTTCGCCGTCATTTGGTATTTCTACAAAATCTGAAGGCAACGGGATCGTAGGCCGAGGGTCCGACGGCAGAGGACATGACGGCAAACGGTTTGACTGCAAACGGCTAGACGGCTGACTCGTCGCGTCCAGGCACTCATTCACGTGGAACAGCATGCGAGACCGTGCGACGTGCTTCTCGCACACCACGCATCGCCACAGCCCGCTACGGCTTTCGCCAGTTTTATTTCTTTCGTTGGCGCCACGCGAAGAAGTACCAGCGAAATCGGCCGCGAGAGGCTGGTTTCGATTAGAGCCTGAGGCATTTGAGCCGATACGTCTGCATTTGTCTACGCCGCGGCGCGGTAACTTCGCAGCTCTCTGCTGCGACGGAGCCAGTGCCATCAGTCGACGTAGGGCGTCGTCTGGTCTCCGCAGCTCTTCGCGCGAGGACATGGTGCTGCTTTGGGGGGAATCGGGTGAGAGATCCGCAAGTGTGGACAGACTGCCTGTCGCGTGGTTGTGTGAGCAGCGCTGTCAATAGGGAAAATATGCCATTCGTAACCTTCATGGGACTCGATAACACAGTTGGTAAAAAAATAAAGGGTACGGTCACTGCAAAGGGTGTTTTCACGCGACTGATAAAGAGTTTCACGGAATCAGTCACAATCAACAGGTAAAAAAAAACGCGAATGGTCACAGATGAAATTCCCGCCAAAACAAAATGAAACCCAAAAAGAATCTGGGTGCATTTTCGGATGAATCAACCCTAACACGTAACTAGCCAGGTGTTTAGGGTTGATCCGTTCCCGAACCGCATCCGATTCCGATTGGGTTTTAGTTTTTTTTTTACAAGTTCGCAGATTGGTTGGGGGCGAGCGGGAATTTTGTTGAGTTTCAAGTTTTTTTGGCGGGAGTTACATGTGTGACCATTCGCGTGATTTTTTACCTGTTGTTAATGACTGAATCCGTGACCCCACTTACCAAACCCGTCTGGAAACCCGATACAGTGACCGTACGCGTTTTTTTTTGTACCATTTACGTTATCGAGTCCCAAGTTCGTTACTTGTGGCATATTTTCCCCTGTCAATAATAGTAGACGGAATGTCGAGAAAATATGCGTGAATATTAGCGAATTGAATGTACAGTATCTCTAGGTGATAAATGGGTTGGAAGTTGGAAGCTGCAAGCGGAGTCGTGAGCAGCACGCTCCATCTGTCGGCCTGTTTTTACCTTAATTATCACACAGGAGACTACTGTATCACGCAAAACAATGATCAAACCGTGACAGACCGCTCTGCATCCGAAACTGATTTCGAATGCAACACAAACATTTGAGAGTCCAAAATTAGGCGGGAAAATGCCGCGCTGACACACGGATATTGTCCTTAAGGAATATCGCATACCCCGAGCGCCCCCTCCAGCCCTTCAGATCCTACCAAATGTTTTGAAGTACCCATGGAAATTCAGAGGAGTGGCATGCTAGGGATTTCGGAATAATGAACATGAAGCTGTTGAAGTTCCTGACTTGGAACACAGTTTATAGAAGAATATAGGCCCAATTATCCCCTCCAGAAGTGGAACCTTGCGTCGGCAATTGCTGCCCGCGTCAGTTTCTATGACATGCACTGCGCAGCGACGACAGCGATCCCACGTGAGCCACGTGTAAACCAATCCCTACGCTGCGCTAAGCCATCATCCTCTGTCCCCGCCCGACACATCACGCAACGGCCATTTTCAGGTGCATGCAGCTTAGTCGAGGCGCGTTATTCAGGTGCATGCCAGGTTGCGTACACTTTTCTCAGGTTAAACAATTTCTCCCGTAAATGAGTGCACAGTTCAAGATTCGATAAAAATTGACACAAAAGGTCTGAAATACGCAAATCGGAATCGGGATGATTGGCTTTCGATGCTGCATTTTCTGACGTAACTCAGTGCAATGATTGCATTTCTGCCCAGTTTCTACGCAATTTTTTGCTTCGCACCAAATCTTTTTGAACGGATTGTAATGCTAAATCGTTTGTACTGTTGGCGCAGGTGGCGGACGCTTCGCGGGTCAAATCAGCAAACTCTAGTGGGACGTGCATTGCTTGAAAAGGGTAGTCCGAAACACGATAAATATGCCCGAGTGTTAGGAATGAGTTACCCCTACCGCAATTAAGGATATATCGTATGTTACATGTATATTTAATGCCACGTAATTAAGGCCGTTGAATACCACCTATTTCAATATGCACGTACGGCAAACTTAGTTTGGTAGAGGCAAAATATACAAACACTCACGAAGGGTTTGCTGATTTGCCATGCGCAGCGTCCGTCATCTGCGTCAAAAGTACAACAGATCTAGCATTAGATTCGTTCGAAATGAGTTGGTGCAAAGCAGAAATTTGCGTATAAATTGGACAAAATGCAATCATTGCACTGAGTTACGTCAGAAAATGCAGCATCGAGAGCCAACCATTCCGATTCCAATTTGCGTAGCCCGAAATTGCATCTATTTCAGACCTTTTGTGCCTATTTTACGAACTGCGTGTTAATCTTGAACTGCGTGTTAATTTACGAGAGACATTTTTTAACCTGAGAAAAGTGTAAGCAACCTTTCATGCACCTGAATAACGCGCCTCGACTAAGCTGCATGCACCTGAAAATGGCCGCATCCCGCAACATCCCCCTTCCCTTCTCCCACAACAGCCTGTTCATTCCCTCTCCCTTTCTTGTCTTGTCTCCTTGTCTCCCCATCGACCCATCCCATCTCTCCGTTCTCTTTTGGGTTTTTAGTTATTTCGGAAGGGGTACTTCCGACCCTGCGCTTTCTAGGGAGCTTCATCTCTACCTGCACAGAGTTTCCCAGGTTTCGACGCCCAGGCAGAAGACTTATTGGGCTGGGACAGAACTCGGCTCCACGTTTATCCACGTGTCAGTCACTGCGCATCCCAACCACTGCTGCTGCACACAGAGAAACAGTGCGCAACCGCTTTTGTTATTTTCTGCCGAGCCAAAACCACGTTCTGGGTGGCTCGGCACCTCACTGTTTCGATATCTGGGGGAGATCATTTTCGTGCCCAAAATCCGTCCAGTAACACACGCCAGAGCGCCACTGCAAACGGAAACGACCTCCGTCTAGTACAGTGACGTCAGTTGCCGTCAAACGACGCTAATACCTCGCCATAACAGAAACGCGATTTTGTTTTAGGGTGAGTTGATTGAAAAAAAATTTAGCCAGTATTTTCAGAAGATTGCATCTGGCCTTATTGAATGAATTTGTTAAACAATGTTACCATTCAAGTATATCTAGAAGATTACATCAAGCCTTATTGAATTAATCTGTTAAACAATGTTACCATTCAAGCTCTTTGAGATTGCATGTGGCCTTATTAAATTAATTTGTTCAACAATGTTTCCATTTAGGGCCTTCTTGGTTCCTTTTGATCTAATATTGAAACAAACAACTTGCTTTTGAGGGGACGAATCATCGTGCAAGCTGCAAAACCCTAACCCATTAAACAAAATGGCATAATCTTGCGTGGATTTAGAGTCTTGTACTATTGTCAACATATGTAGACACAGGGTGCTAGAGTTTAGAAGCCTTTAAATATCTCTGGGCGTTTCAGAACACATGATATCATTTTCACACATATGTTATTATGTGTATATTATTATTATATTTGTGAAGTTAAATTCTCACAAATAAGTTATTCTGTGGACTTAAACGCCCATGAATGTTTAAAGGCTTAACACGTAAATACGTAACACTATGTTTACAACTGTAGACAATACTATAGGACTGTAAATGCATGCAAGATCATGCCATTTTCTTCTATAAACCCGGCTTTTGCAACTTGCACGATGTTTTGTCCCTTTAAATGAAATTTGCGTGTTTCAATTTTAGAGGAAAAGGAAACTCAATAATGCCCTGAATGTTAACACCGTTTTACAAATTAATTTAGAAAGGCCATATGCAATCCTAAAAAATAATGGCTAAGTTTCTATTATATTCAAATCAGCCTAAAACTAGATCGCGTTTCTGTTATGGGGAGCTATTAACATCGTTTGACGGAGGTTGAAGTCACTGGACTAGACGGAGTTTATTTCCGTTTGCAGTGTCGCCCTGGCGTGTGTTACTGGACGGAGTTTGGGCGCGAAAATGATCCCCCCCCAGATATCGAAACAGTGAGGTGCCGAGCCACCCAGAACGTGGTTTTGGCTCGGCAGAAAATAACAAAAGCGGTTGCGCACTGTTTCTCTGTGTGCAGTAGCAGCGGTTGGGATGCGCAGTGACTGACACGTGGATAAACGTGGAGCCGAGTTCTGTCCCAGCCCAATAAGTCTTCTGCCTGGGCGTCGAAACATGGGAAACTCTGTGCAGGTAGAGATGAAGCTCCCTAGAAAGCGCAGGGTCGGAAGTACCCCTTCCGAAATAACTAAAAACCCTTCTCTTTTCTCCTATTCTCCTCCCTGCTTGTCCTGTAGTCTGTCACTTGTCTCACCTCTTCTTGATCCCAAGCCCAGCTGAAACCCTGTCAAAATATCCTGCATTCAGTGCGGTCGGAGGATTATTAGGCATCGATTGCTTTGTCCGCTCAATAGTGTGACCTTCCAAGCACACGCCCTCTGACTGATCATATTCACTTCGTCGCGTGTCGCGGCTTTTCTCAGGCACGTCGAAGCTCCAAAGTTGCTGCATTGCATTTCCTGAACTCTGTACGCTTCCATATCGTTTCGAGCACAACTGCCGCACCGCCTCCTACTCTCGGCGTTCCCCGACTCGCGCTATGGATCCGACTGATCATAAAAATCTGACCACGCATCGTTCTTCCCGCGACAACCCTCCGTCTTCCCCAAAGGCACCTCTTTTATCTTTCGACGCCCCTCTCTCTCCCTCCGCGAACCAACTCCACGGACAAAAAAGCCGCCCTTTTCGCTCCACAGATAGTCGTCACCCCCCCAGCGAATCATCTCTCCGTTTTTCCCAGCGCCGCCATTTCTCCGCCGCGCGTCCGTTGCCCCCGGGCTCCAACGCACCGGAGCATCTCGGTTCACCCGTGGACCCGTCGCTCTCCTCCTCCTCTTCCGATGAGGAAGATTTTCCAATCGCCGTCCACCGTGAAGCACCGCTCCGAACCGCGCAACCGTCAGCTCTTTCCGCGCACCTCTCCGCGCAGCCGGTCCCCCCGCAGGGCGCGTCCGCGCGCCTCCACGACTCGTGGTTCAACGGGACGGCGGCGGGAGTGGGCCGGTGGGGTGCGCGGGTGCGATACAAAGGGAGGTTGAAAGTGACTAAAGGGAGACATCATCCAGAGGCAGAGGCGTGGAAGAGACAAAGGGAGAGAGCGAGAGAGAGGGAGAGGGAGAGGGAAAGGGCGAGGGAGGGGGATGAGGAGGTGGAGTCGGAGAGTGAAGATGAGGAGGGATCAGTGAGAAGTGGATCGGATGCTGCTGAGGATGATGAGGAGGAGGATGATGGACAAGGCGACGGGGCGATGGGGATGAAAGATGGGGAGACGGAGAGGGAGAAGGAGAGGGAGGCGCGGGCGGAAGGGTGTGACGGAAAGGAGAGGCGGGGATCTGATGGGTGTGGTGCGAGTGTGGTGGGTGGGGTGAGGAAGGGAGGGGTTGCGGAGGAGGGTCTGGAAGGTAAGGAGGAGGCAAAGAGAGAAAATGCAGAGAATGAAATTGAGGAAGGGGAGGTATTCTCAGATAAGGAAGATGCAGAGGAAGGTGCAGAGGAAGGTACAGTGCGTGCGGCGGAAGAAACGGAGGAAGATGCAAAGGAAGAGGCGATCAAGGATGAGCCCAAAGAAATCTTGATGGGAGAGGATCAGAAACAGAGAGGGATGGAGGTAGAGGAACGAGAGGATAGGGAAAGGGATAGGGAGTCAAGGACGCAGAGAGTAGTAGCTAAGGTAGAGCCGGATACTGATATGGATGTCGAGACCAAAGGTTCAGTGGGAGGTTCAGTGGGATGGAAGGGAGAGGAGCAGAAGCTGCAGGCGAGGGTGAAGGCGGAGCAAGAAGAAGGATGCAGCGAGAAAGAGAGGGGGCCTAGTGGCTGCTCTGCTAGTGGAGTTGGTGTGGGTGGTCCGCGTGATGCGGATGGTGCGTGTGATATGAGTGCTGTGGGTGGTGCGTGTGATGTGAGTGATGCGGGTGGTGCGTGTGATGTGAGTGATGCGGGTGGTGCGTGTGATGTGAGTGGTGTGGGTGGTGTCTGTGGTGGGCCTGGTGTGACTATCAAGGTGAATGGTGAATGTGGGACGAAACGGAGGGAGTTAAGTGAGGGGGGAGGCGCGGAGGGAGGCATGGGTGTTGTTAAGACGGAGGAGGAGGAGATGGAGGAGAATGAGGAGGGAGGGGTGGTGAAGACTGAGTGTCCGTATGAAGAGGATGATGGGCAAGGGGCGTTTGAGGTACAGGGTAAAGGTGATGATGACGGTTGTCATGTGAAAGTTGATGTGTGTGATGATGTTGATGACCGTGCTGATGCGGATGATGATGCTGATGATGATGGCCGTGTCGATTTGAACTCGGATGGGGACGCTGATGATGCTGATGCTGATGCTGATGCTGATGCTGATGCTGATGGTGATGCTGATGCTGATGCTGATGCTGATGGTGATGCTGATGATGATGGTGATGCTGATGATGATGTAGGTTGTGACATTGATGTTGATGCTGGTGGTGGTGATGGTAATGGCGATGCCGGTGGTAATGGTGATGGTGATGATGCTGATGATGACGATGAGGATGTAGTGTTTCTGGATGAGAAAGAAGCGGACGCGATTCCACAAGGTCAGAGGGAAGAACCTACCGGAGCCAGGGCATCTCCTGCAGGAGGGACGGAGGGCGCGGCAGCATCAGGAGCGGCAGCAGAAGCGGCAGCAGAGGCAGCAGCGGCAGCAGCAGCAGCAGCAAGTCCACGGAAGAGAAGGAAGCGTATGACGCGGCCACCAGGAGGAGAAGCAGCGGATGAGGATACTCACAGAAAGGCACTCCATGGAAAAAGAAGGCATCAAGGCAGTGCACATGGCGGTGCTCCTGGGGGAGTGTTTGGGTCAGCTCAGATCACTCCTAGTGGCGGTGGCGGTGCTGCAGTGGTGGCCCACTTCTGGCAGGATGAGGCGGAATACAACTCCCTGCACAAGGTGAGCAGCGCGCTTCTTGCGCTCTGGTTAGTGCGTATGGCGGTGCTGCGATGTGTTTCAGCTCAGAACATGCCTGGCTGTGGTGGTGGCGGTGCTGCAGTGGCGCATTTCTGGCAGGATGAGGCGGAATATAACTCCCTGCACAAGGTAGGCATCGTGGTTTTTGCGCTCTGGTGAGTTGACGTCAGTCGATCGACTCACCATGATATGAAGTCGACCAAGAGACGTGGTGGGTCACTAATTTCCGGCGTGAGGTGGTGGCTTACATGTTGATGCGAGCACAGGACACCAGCCTTCCCTGGAGAGTGATGCATGCGTGTGTGTGAGGTGAGGTCCTTTGAGGCGCCTTGAAAGCCTATGCATTCTACCCTCTCCCCCCCACTGTGCCCACAGATGCGAGCGCAGAAATGACACCGGCCTTCTCTGGGGAGGAAATGCATGGGTGTGTCTGAGGTCCTTTGAGTGCCTTGAAAGCCTATGTATTCTACCCTCTCCCCTCTGTGCCTGCAGATGCGAGCACAGGACACGGGCCTTCCGTGGGGAGTGATGCAGGGGTGTGAGGGGTGCCGCTACCGCGGGTGCTACCGGTGCTGCCACGTGTCGTCACGATGGAAGCCGGATCAGTCGCGACGGCCCTCCGTGGGAGAGGCTCCCACGTTCTACCCCACTGCCGAGGTACGCTGCTGCTGTTGCTGTTGCTATTGCTGTTGTTATCGTTGCTCTCCTTGTCATTGGCAAGCTCGCGCGTTCGTGACAATTCTTCTAAACCCCGAAGCTCAGAACCATCCTCGTCTCTCTCTCCACTCCAGGAGTTTGCCAACCCCGTGCGCTACATTCAATCCAATCCGTCCATCGTGATAAAAGTAGTGCTTGGAGACCTCTCAAAACACTACTACTTTTATCACTCAGCCAGCCATACATACGAGCCATTCATAAGGCGTCTCGAAAGCCATCAGGAGTTTGCCAACCCTGTAAGCTACATCCAGTCCATCCAGCGGCTAGCAGAGGCGGCTTATTTACCATCCTTTCAAGAGCCATCCTTATCCCCCACCCATGCACCACCCCACCCACCCTCCCACCCACCAGGAGTTTGCCAACCCAGTGCGCTACATCCAGTCCATCCAGCGGCTAGCAGAGGAGCACGGGATATGCCGCATCGTGCCACCCGCCTCCTGGACTCTCCCTGCGGGCGCCTCTCTCTCCCTGGAGCACCAGCGCTCCCTGCGCTGTGCCTACCCCACCCGCGTGCAAGAGATCAGCCGCCTGCAGGTGAGAGCGAGTAAGCCAGTGGTTTCAGATGAGCTTCTGAGACGCCTTTTGAGGCGCCTCAAAAGTCCTCCCTGCGCTGCAAGAAATCAGCTGCCTGCCTGCAGTTGAGGGCGAGTGGTTTCAGATGCGTTTCTGAGACGCCCTCCTGCTGCTGTCATTCTTCTCAGCAATCTTCTCCTTTTTTTCTTGATCCCCTCGCTTCCCTCTTCCCTGCCCTGGTTCCTCTAACCCTCTCAACTCCTTCCTTCACCTCTCAACTCCTCCCTACACCTCTCCACTCCTTCCTTCACCTCTCTACCCCTCCTCGCTCCCTCATCTCTCCATGCACACTAGGTCCGCAAGCCTTGGGCAGCAGCTGCTGGGAACATCCAGGGTTACCAGCCGCACCCCCACCACCAGGCGCAGCAGCAGCAGCAGCAGCAGCAGCAGCACCAGCAGCCGCAGCAGCCGCAGCAGCAGCAGCAGCAGCACCAGCACCAGCACCAGCACCAGCACCAGGAGCCGCAGCAGCCGCAGCAGCGGCAGCGGCACCAGTACCGGCAGCGGCAGCGGCAGCAGCACTATATCCCCCCCGTCACCTCAGTTGACAACATTCCCATTGTTCTCGCCCTAGCAGCCCCTGGAGGGCCCAATGACACCTGGCACGAGAAACCCCCTAAGATAACTTCTGGAACCTCTGAAAAGCCTCCCAAGATAAAAGCCCTTTCTTGCATCAGCTCCCCTAGAAGACCCCTCCACTGGATCAGCAAGGGCAAGCGGACACACAGGGACGGGGGTGGTTGCAAACGGGGGTTGAATGCGGTGGAGAGGGGCGGGGAGGGGTGTGGGGTGGGTGGGGTGGGTGGGGTCCGGTACCCCACCCGCCCATTCGTCCGCCCCCCGCTTCCTGCGCATGTTGGTGTAGAATGCGAGTTTGGGTTTGAACCAGGGGCGAGGCACACGCTGAGACAGTTCCAGGCGTATGCCGAGCGGTTTGAAAGGACCTATTTTGAAGGAGCGGGGGAGGGGATGGAGGGAGGTGGGGTGGGTGGTGGTGCGAGGGGGAGTGGAGGAGAATTTTTGTGTTCGGGAAGTGGAAATGGGAATGTGGGTGGGGGTGGAGGTGGGAGGAATGGAGGGGTGCCGACGTGGGAGCAAGTGGAGGGGGAGTTCTGGAGGGTTGTGGAGGCACCAAGTGAACGTATAGAGGTGAGAGGGCGATGAGGAGGGGGAGGGGATGTGATGCGATGCGATGCGATGCGATGCGATGCGATGCGATGTGATGTGAGGCAGGATTTGTGCTGATCACTGTGCTTCCGTTGATCGCTCTGCTTCCATTGATCTCTGTGCATGTGCAGGTGCTGTATGCATCTGACGTGGGGCACCTCATACCACCCATTCTCACCGCGCTGCACATGCCCCACAATGCCTGACTGTGCTTCCACTGATCCTTCTGCTTCCATTGATCCTTCTGCTTCCGTTGATCTCTGTGCATGTGCAGGTGCTGTATGCATCGGACGTGGAGAGGCACAACATACCACGCGCTGCTCCCACCACACCGCACGTGAAAGCAAAAGCAGCACCAAGTCCTGATGCAGAACCCTCAGGCCTGGCAACACTCGCAGCACTAGCAGCACTGGCTGATGCTGATCTGAATGGTGCTGAAGGGTGGGCCCGGAGGGGCGTTGATACAGCATCAACCCCAGCAACCCCAGCAACTCCAGCAGCACTCGCAGCACTAGCAGCTCTCCACGCTGCTGATTCGAATGGTGCTGAAGGGAGGGGCGTTGGTACAGCAACCCCAACAGCACCTGCAGCAGATTCGGCAGCAATGGAAGACCCGATCCTGCCACCGGTGCTGCTATCTATACGAAATACAGTACTGCCACCGCTGCCAGTGCTGCCGACACTCATGCAGCACCAAGCGAGTCACTACAGCAGCAGCAGCAGCGTTGCAAGCAGCATGGGTGTATGCAGAAGCAGCAGTATCAGCAGCAGCAGCGTCCGCGCCGCCGCCGGCGGTGGCGGCATTGGCTGCGGTAATGGCAGCGGTTTTGATCGCAATGCTGCTGATGGTGGTAGTAGAGATGGTGGTTCTGGTGGCACTGGTGGTGGCGGCGGCGGCGGCGGCGGCGGCAGTGGCGGTGGTTGTGGAGGGACGTGGGACATGTCGAGTGTGGCGCGCATGGGCCCATCAGTGCTGCAGTTTGAGGAAGAGCCTATATCAGGCATCACTGCACCCTGGGTCTACTTCGGCATGTGCCTCTCCTCCTTCTGCTGGGTGTGTGCCATCTCTCCCTCCTCCCCTACTCCCCTCTTCCCATTCCTCCCCTTTGTTCTCCCTCTCCTCGTCCTCCTCCTCCGTCCTCCCATTCCTCCCCTCAAGTCCCCACTCTTTCTCTCTTCCCCTCTTCTCCCCCTCCTCCCCCTCCTAAGAACCTTTCCCCTCTCCCTCTTCTGCTCTTTAAATCTCTGTTGCTGTTTCTTCCTCTCTGTTCTCTCTTCTGCGCCAGCAGCATGCGCTTGCTTCATGCGCTCTCTACCCATCTCTCAATTGCATCCCGCCCGTCCATCCCGTCCGTCCATCCCATCCGTCCATCCCATGCACGTGGCAGCATGTGGAGGACCATCATCTCAACTCGCTCAACTACCTGCACTGGGGGCGCCCCCGACAAGGTGTGGTACGGAGTGGCCAGCAGGCATGCAGAGCGGTTGGAAGCGGTGATGCGCAAGCGCCTGCCCGAGGCCTTCCGTGGCATGGATGACCTGCTGCAAAGCCTTGTGAGTGCAGATGGACGGGCAGATGAACGGGCAGATGAACGGGCAGATGGACGGGTAGATGGACGGGCACATGGACGGGCCGATGAACGGGCAGATGGACGGGCAGACGGACGGGCAGACGGACGGGCAGATGGACGGGCAGGCGGACGGGCAGACGGACAGGCAGATGGACAGGCAGATGGACGGGCGGATGGACGGGCGGATGGACGGGCGGATGGGTGTGGCAGATGGGCGGGCAGATGGGTGTGGCAGATGAGATGGCTAGAGCCTTGAAATACATCACATAAACAAATCATGGCAAACGGCACATCACGAAGTATGAGTTTCCTACAACTCAAATTAGGTACGTTAGTGTCTATGGTAGGAATTAGTCGCTTATACTTAGTCTTTGTGAGGAACTTCTGGAGTTGGGTGACGGGAGGGGTTCTCGTGGTCGCATCTCCCTTCCAAATTTTCGCCCAGTCTGTTCGCGAACCCCACATCGTTTTCGTTGGGGTTGTCTCTAAGGGAGGGTACTGTTCCAAAGCAACAGTACTTTCAAATGTATACTCTTGCTTTAAAAGAAACCGAAATTCCTGCCCTTTCGCCTCCCCTCCTCTCCCTTTCCCGCGCCCCCCCAGGTGACC